GTCCGCCCACCCACCGAGACAGACACCTGACAACGCAACAAGAGCACGCAACAGAGGGCTCCAAACAGTATTCTAAGAAGGTCACTGAGAAATGGCTGACAGGTCAAGAAGCTCGCTCATCCAGAGAAATAAATTCAGCCTAGCTACAGTGACAGTTGCAGCCCACCCACTCAATCAGCTCCACCAGGAAGGCAGACGGTGACACAGTGGATTGCATCCATATTTCAGATTACTGCATACCTTTAGAGAAAACAAACACAAAACAAACAAATAAATCCACGGGGGGGTTTGTGTGAATGCCTCAGTTCACTACAGTATGTGTCTGTGATTAGTAGAGAGGAGAATAACAGATTGTTTTGATGCCAGATGGCTGTGCTTTAACACAACTAACAAACATATTGAGTTTGCCTTAGTGCTTGTGGTTTTACTACATCAGTTTTGACGCAAGTCAGCTACGATTTACAACCAGACTGCCAGCATAAAATACTCCTGCCATGAAGAGCCTGAAGGAAGGCGCGTCTGGGATGTGTGATGTAACGTCCCATCTATCTGTGATGCAACTACCTCGTCTGCTCAGCTTTGACATAATGAGATGTGATCAGACGATGGATTGGGGATAAAGCACTGGTGCATTATTTAACCTTTTCCTTTTGGTGACTTAAATTGATCTTTGCAACTGAATTGTGGCCATGATTGAGGCTCAAACTACAGCATGATTCGCTTATGGAAATAGAAAATGCAAATAGAATAAATGATTTTAGCACTTTTTTTTCGTGGCCTTGCTTTTTGTTAATCTCATGCAATAGTTCACATGGTGCAGAGTATGGGGAGCTAAGTGTAAAATGAAAGGTTAAAAAATCACTAATGTATTTTAACTCACTTTTTGAGTGTTAAAAATTTTCCACTCATATTTTATTATTTAGCACAGTGGTTCCCAAAGTTGGGATCGGGACCGTGGGGTCCCGAAACATCAAGGTGGGGTCCTGAAAAGCTTTTTCTGAATTGATTACACTAAAAAATGACAACTAACAACACTTTTTTTGCCTTTGCCGTCATAAAAAAGTAAAGGAAGTGTACTTAAAATGGACAAAAACAGCGTAATAAATATTGTTACTATGCTCTTGTWTATTTGACGTAAAAAATGATGTTTATCAACCAACAACAGCTGGGGGCACAGATGGAGGAGTTAAGACAGGTCATGCAGCAAACACACAAAAAAACTTGCATTAAACTTGTAGTTATGGCTGGTGTCTGAGCTGCACTTCAAACTGCTGGACCACA